CTTAAAATAATACTCATCTGGGCTGCATGGGAAAACCTAGCCCCAGCAAGTTCCAGAAATATCAGGGTCTCAGAAATTGCACCTGGGCCCAGCCCAGGTGGTGCAGATGGTTGGCTGCTGCTTATGGTGCTGGTGCCACATGGAAAACCAGGGATCATATTTCCTAGTGGACCTGAAGCACACCCGGAGTGCCCATGATCCTGGGGGTGGGGATCATAGCAGTGATGAGACCATTTTGAAGTGGCCTGTTCCTCTCTTTATCTCTCAAGAACTAATTTCTTTTTTAAAATTACACCTAAGTGGAAACGAGGAACCAAGTGGTGGTTCTCCAAAGCTAATGGACTCTGGTTCTATTTGGAACTCAGATAAACACAGTAATAACCTCCATAATGATTATTGAGTAATATATACTCAAAGAGACATATTCATTCTATTTGAATGACTGAAGGTAATGACAAAGATAATGCAAAGTACAACATGAAATACTAGCTTAAAAAATTGAAAGTGGGGACCAGCAGATGGTGTAATGGTTATGTTGCTGGACTCCCACATAGTCTACTGCTGTTCAAGTCCTGGACCTCATGGCTTAAAACTCACACTGGGCACAAGTGTCCAAGATCTCAAGAGGAGAATGGAGGAGAAGGGATTGTGGCATGGCCATCCCCCCGGGGGGGTAGGGTGAGTTCTCGCTTTCTGTCTTTTTGTCTCTGGTGAGCACATATTCCCTTTAGCAAAAAATCTCTCAGTAAAAAAAAAAAAAAAAGGAATTGAAAGTGTAGAGCACCTAGATTTCCATAGCCGTCTCCACAGACAGGAGCCCTTTGGTGTTTCTCAAACAATATTGGGCATGAATCACTTAGAAAGAGCAGGTTTTAAAGTTCTCTCACCAGGAATTCTGATTCAGGAATCCTCTCGCTCAAAATCATTGTGGAGGTCCTGGCCAAGGAATATATTTTGACAAAGACTCCTTTCAAAGATTTTTAAGAGGCAGTTTTCAAAGAGAGGACGAATGATTAAATTCATTGTTTTCACAGCAATGTGATTATGGCAGCTTAGTGGCAGATGTTGACACTTGATTTAGTTAAAATTTTTAAGGCACAATACAGTAATGAGTCCTTTGGGAGGAGACTAATTTTATTTTTTAATGGAACAATCTTATTTTTTAATGGACGAAAAGCCTAAAAATGGTAATAGTCACCTGGTAGGGTCAAAAATAGTAAATTGTCATATTATCTACTATTTCACCAGTCAGTTACAAAATGTATGGCTAAGCGATTTGAGTTCTTTTATATACATTAAAATTCACAAGGCCAGCCAATGTCATGGTGATGAAGGCAGCTGGATCCCACTTGGCCAACTATGCAGTTTGGGTCCCAGACTCAGTGGCTTGAAAACCATTCCAAGTGCATGTGTGTGCACACCCAAAATCCCAAGAGGCGAATGGAAGAGAAAGGATTACGGCGTGGCCATCCCTTCAGGGGAGTGATTTCTCACTTTCTCTCTCTTTCTCACTCCTGGTAACACGTGCTCTGCAGCAAAAGCTAAATACATACATACATACATACATAAAAGAAATGAAAAAAAATTCACTAATCAATTTTTTTGTGTGTGTGATATGTTATGCTGTAACTCTTTGTGGTTACAAAAGAAACCTTAGAGAAGAAAATACTCCAACTCAGTCAATCTTGACCTGTTCCCACATTTTTCACAAGCACTAGAGAGAAGTGGGTAAGGAGAGGGAGAAGCGCTCCGCGAGGCCTAGTCATGCAGTGGTCCCTCTCCTCCTGTCCTCTGGTTTGCCAGAATCCTGAGCACACACACGTGCCCAGTGTGTATTCAGGCTGGCAAGACCTGGGTCTCGAACCTTAATCTACATAGGACTCCCAACTCCAAAGTCTGGGATGTTACCAGCTGCACCACAGAGGCTGGACTTTGCCACAATTTTATCAGCTCTTCATTAGGAAGTTCCTAACTTTGACAGTCATCAGCATGTGTTCATGTGTATGTACACATGCACAAGTGTTTACCACTCCCAAATACGCGTGTCAGTGCAAATGTCAATTATCTTTCATTTTTTTGTTATAAAAAGATAAATATGTTTGGTCCAGTGCCCGTAGGAAAAAAGATATTCTGAATAAATATCAAAGTTGAAGAGTATCCTTTTTATTTTTTCTCTTGGTCATGGAATTCATAAGCCTTCTTTCTTTTTCTTCCCCATTAAAGACCATTCCTTTCTATGAGCAACCCAGGGATCATGGGAGGGAATCTTGGGATACAAATCAAAGGGACTGGCTTGTCATTTAAGTAATAGTTGTGGGGATAGGCAGGCAGGTGGATGGATGGATAGGAGTAAAGTGGGCAACTCTGTGTCTGCTCATGAGGTATTTCCCTTCCTGATTTTTATACCAGTTCATGAAAACTGAAAAGATATGGACGTATAGCTTAAACTTTGCCATGCAATTCTTAGCTGCTTCTTTCTCTACACAATGACAATAAATCCAAATTTGGGGCGTTGTTTCTCAGTGGGAGTCCTAAGCATTACGTGTTTGGAATTTTAGTCCACATTTTGACCTACACCCTTATTCCTTTATCTCCTGCTTAGCTGCACATAGAGAAAAATTGGTAGTGATTTTTTTTGGGGGGGGTAACAGGCTCTTTTTTTAAATCCCAAGAATGAGAGAGAAAAAAAAGCATATTATTGACATATTCTATCATTTTTTTTAACACAGGGTCTCGCTATGTGACAATCTTCCTGCCTCAGTTTCCCAGGTAGCTGGGACTATAAGCTCATGTCACAAATGCCTGGCTGTCAGGATGGGCCAGAAATTGAAAGCAAGCCTTCCATGACCTCAGCCTCCCCAGAAGCAGTAACTACTAGTGTGCACCAGCTAAGACTGTGTTTTCTGATTTTTTTCTGTCCTTTTCTTCCAGCGGTTTGGTATAACAGAGACCCTGCCTGTGGAACAAATTTTGTGAAGTTCATAATGCTTCATTATCCCAGTCAGCTTCCTCTTCATTGCAACTATTTTCATTTTCACAGAAGCTCATGTAAATAGGCTGATCCTGCTTTGCATAAGCATGTTGATTTATATGAATGCTATTTTGATCTCAAATTGATTGAATACTAAAAAGAAAGTCTAGAAAAAGAGCAATGTATCATGAAGGTCTCCTGTCAAAGACAAAGACACCAGGTCCCATACTCATTCCTAATCATGGGGAATTTTGTATCACCTAGCTTTTAGAAAATACCAGGTTTTTTTTCTTTCTTTATTTCTTCTGTGAGTAAGACAGAGAAAGAGAGAACCCTCGATAGGATCTCAAAGCCATAATCCAGCCCCAGCCTTCAGCTAGCTCTGGGTCATGGGCAAGGTTGTGCCTGTAATATTCAAAGACATTGGACTTGAACCGGAAATCTTCCCAAGTGGGATCGCCTCATGGAGCATTGTGTTTTATTGCTGTTCCATCGTGTGGTTCCTAGCAGAGACTATTTCTAGAAAAACACTGTAATATTGAAGCCCAAGTGTTTTTATTAATATTTATTTAATTTAACTTATTAATTCATTATTTTAAAAGAGAGAGAGAGAAAGTGAGAAAGCAAGTCACCAGGTCCAGGACTCGAACCATGGTTGGCCATGTGGGAATGTCCAGCACCTTAGCCACCACGCCACCCATTGGTCCCAAGGCCTAAGTGTTTTAAAACATTGTGGATTGGGACCAGCAAATGGCATAATGGTTGTGTTGCTGTACAACCCCACATAGCCAACTGCAGTTCAAGTCCTGGACCTGGCAGCTTAAAACTCACTCCAGGCATGTGTACATGTGTGCCAAGATCCCCAGAGGAGAATAGAGGAGAAGGGACTGTGGCATGGCCATCCCCCCATTGGGTGATTTCTCGCTTTCTGTCTCTCTGTCTCTCTCTCTCTCTCTCTCTGACAAGCTAATACTCTCTATAACAAATATCTCTCAAAAACAAACACACACACACAAAAAAGGAATGTGTCCCAAAAAGCATTTGGAAACACTAGTAGGAATTAGCCTAACTACTAAAAATCTCTCTCATATTTTAGAAGTTATTATTCATATAAAAGAAAAAAACTAAACTCTCACTGTGAAGTGTTCTCTGACAATTTTTTTTTTTCTGAAGACTTCATATTTTGGAACATTCTGCATGATTTTTTGATGCTGTATACCTGAATATATATTCTATAGAATCAAACCAGTTTTTGAGATTTAGCTCTAAAATCTCATAGCAAATTTTTAAAAAATATATAGTGTAGAAGACACCCAATGGGAAAATATTTCCTGAAGTTAGACTTGCACATGAAAGCTTACTAAGGAATACTCCTACCCTAAACACACAGACGGTCTTCTTGTATTGCCATTTAGATCTATCATTCTGATTGATCACTGTGTAGTTGGCTATTATCGGGCCTAATTTAACCCTATACACTCACACATCCATCTACCCTGTCTATTGTACCTGACACTCTACAAATTACTTACTCATGCAAATGAGGACCTAAGGCAACCTTTTAGGATATTCATGTTTAATTATACAAATGGTTCTTGATAAATAAGATTATACATCTTTCCATATGTTTATTCCTTCCTCGATGAAAAGAAATTTAATTTACATGCAGATTTGATGGGGGCAGTGTTTAAGAATTGCTGAGTTTTATGTAGCCTACAGGTCCATCCAGTTTGCAGAAGCTGACAAAACCATTCCACTTCCTGCACAGAGATGAGCAGTTTTTCATAAGACTGAAATCAGCCTGGTGCATTCTGAAATCCTAAATGGACCCCTTTGTGTACACATGGTCAAAAGTAAAAAAAAAAAAAAAAAGAGAGAGAGAGAGAAAGAGGAGTCCTATTTCCTTTGTGATCACAAAGTTGCAAGATCAAAGTTTATCTTGTTCTGTCCTGTTTAGTGGCCTAGGTTGCCAACTTGTTTTCAGCCTGGAGGTATCTTGCTTATGCCTCATCTTGATTTCTCTTCAAAGGTCTGGGCAGTGAATTCTGCAGGAAAAGCCCCCAGTAACTGGACATGGTGTAGAACTGGGCCCGCACCCCCGGAGGGTCTCCATGCTCCCACATTCCATGCAATCTCTTCTACACAAGCAGTGGTCGACATCAGCGCCCCCGTGAAGCCCAATGGGATCGTCAGTCTCTACAGGCTGTTCTCCAGCAACACCAGTGGCACAGAGACAGTGGTGAGCAATGTGGTCGGAAAGTCCAGGACTGGCTGATGTTTGAAAAATAAAGAGATTAGAATAGTGGTTACTAGAGGCTGAGAAAGGTATGGAGGACAAGAGATCAAGAAAGGATGATTAATAAGTACAAAAATATAGTCATATAAGAGGGTTAAGTTTTGTTTCTGTTTTTTGGGGTTTTTTTAATTTGTTTTGTTTTGTTTTGTTATGTTTTGCTATAGGGAACGTGCAGTTCCAGAGAGACAGAGACAAAAAGAAAAAGGGAGAAATCACCCCCAGGGAGGTGGCCACACCACAATCCCTTCTTCTCCATTCTCCTCCTGGGATTTTGGGCACACATGCACACATGCCTGGCTTGAGTTTCAAGTCACTGGATCCAGGTTTCAAACTGCTGTCAGACATGTGGGAGTCCAACCTCTTAACCACTATGCCAGCTGCTGGCCCCAAGGATTAGGTTCTAATGTTCAACAAGATGACTATAGTTGACAAAAATCTATTGTATATTTCAAAATAGCTGGAAGAGAGATGTTGAATATTCATAATGCAAGGAAATGATAAATGTTTGAGGTGACAGATACGATAATTTCCCTGATTATACATTGCATACATGTATCCAAATATCACAATTATCCCTAAATATTTACAGTTATTATGTGTCAGTTAAAAAAAATGACCACAGAATGGTAAACAATCATTTCATCTTTATAAAAAGAAAGAAAATCATTACCATGGTGTCCTTACTTTTGCTTCTCCTTGATTCTTTTCCTTCTGTTTTCAATTACCCTCCAGTGAATTTAGTAGCACAAAGATCCTTCAGGGAAGAAAAAAATGAGGAAACACATGTAAACTCTCAGAGAAACAATTACTAAAGATAGTTTTAAAAGTGTCTACAAATAAAAGAAACCTAAGGCTTTAGAAATAAGTTAAATGACATAAATTTAAAAAGTATAGCTCAAGCTCTTAATGGAGGAGTAGCCCTTGGAGCCAGCAAATGATGTGGTAGTTACATTGCGAGATTCTCTCATGGCCAACTGCAGTTTGAGTCTTGAAAGGGGCTGACCAGTGGTAACAATTGGTTGGGTAAATGTTAATATAAAAGAAAAATTGGAGCCAAAAAAAAAAAAATCTTTGGATTCCCATGCTGACATGCACGAGTCTCTAATAACACATGAAGAACTCCGTCTTTTTTTCTGGAGAATTCGAGAAAATTTTAACCCTTTGGAAGGGAAGGCAGAACAGTTGAGCCAGCCTAGCTCTAAGTCCCCTGCTTATTTATGACAGGTTGAAGGACACCAGGGGCTACAGAAAAGGTGGTTCAGGGAAATCAACTTTTACATTGTGTTTAGCCAAGCCATTTGCTAGAAGGGATGGTAAGCATCTAGATCCGTTTCTGCATTATTTACATGAAAGACTAAGAGCCCATGGGATGAAGGCTCTTGTCTCTGTGGCACTGTTTGCATCACTCTCATGTTTGTCCTGAATAAGTGGAGATGATAGTACTTGGTTCTCACGAACCTCATACAGAGATTGTGCAGATCCTGGCGTGACATTATAAATTATTTAGATCCATTTAGGGAACAATTTGGGCAAGTGCTGAGCAATCCCCTGAGGCCACAGGTATTTCAAAAGATAACTCACATACCAGGAAGGCACCTATTGAATGTTAAAGGAATATTAGCATATTTTCTACAGGGCTTTGGATTCAATAAATACAGATGATGTAAATACAATCAACCTTTGATTATCTATGCTTATAAAATGTTAATATTAATAAAGTAAAAAAATTTATATTTGGTGTGCCTGAGATGCATTTTTTAAAAAATAACAACTCCTTACTACTTTAGGCCAGTGCGAAATTAATTTCCAGTGTCTAAGCACTTCTGTTCCAAAGACTACTTACTAAAACCACACTGAGGTCAAAGGTTTGTTCCAAACAAATCACAAGTTTGTAAGATGATTGAGAGAAGACTATGATATTTTGTGAAAATCTACACCTTCAGAGAAAAAGACAGTCTTACAAGCTCTTCAATATCTTTACCCAACTCTAACGTTGACTTCAGGGGATTTTTGACTCAGAAATTACATGCTAGTAACTAAGGCAGAATAAGACCTTGGGGAATGTTAACTAGAAATATAATTCAGGGCCCAGCAAGTGCCATCCCGATTGGGGTATTGAACTCCCACATGGCCAACTGAGGTTCAAGTCCCAAATCTGGCAGATTGCTTTCTCACTTTCCCTCTCTCTGTCTCCCTCTGGTAGGTGACATGCCCTATAGCAAATTTTAAAATGATAATTGCAATGGAGCAATTCTAAACAGAAGAAATATAATTCAAATACAAATTTTGTTTTTAAGAAAGGCATCATTCTGAGGGTCGTAGAAGTTGATCAATGGAGCAATTCTAAACAGAAGAAATATAATTTAAATACAAATTTTGTTTTCTAGAAAGACATCATTCTGAGGGTCGTAGAAGTTGATCGGTATTTTGTGTGTTTTGTGTCATTTTCTAATACCTTTCTATGGTCATAGGCAATGGATCATATTGCGCCTGGTGACTTCAGGGCTATTACCTCAAACTTCTGTTTAACTCAGGGGTTGTTTTTTGTTTTAGAATTATTTATTTTATTTATTAGTATCATTTTTACATTTTTCTATAGGACTCATGTACTCATGAGAGAGAGAGAGAGAGAGAGAGAGAGAGAAAGTGATGAATCAAGCTGCCAGATCTGGGACTCAATCCATGGTCAGACATGTGGGAATCTAGTGCCTTAACCACCATCCACCACTGGCCTCCTGTTTAACTTTTATATGGTTACATTTCTTAGCTATTTAAGCCATGCCTCTGACAGGATGTTAATTTCTTGAGGGTAAACACTATGCTTGAATGCCATGCTGCATCTCCCAGAGAAAGTTTGGTGCTCTCCTTGTAGGAGGTCGGATACTTGATAGACATTTATCAGTTGTCTTTGATTTGTGACTGCACTTCTTCTTGTCTTCCTTCTTTCTACAGCTCTCTGAAGGCATGGCCACTCAGCAGACGCTTCATGACCTGCAACCCTTCACAACCTACTCCATTGGGGTAGAGGCCTGTACCTGCTTCAACTGTTGCAGCAAAGGGCCAACGGCCGAGCTCAAAACTCATCCTGCTCCACCCTCAGGCCTGTCCTCTCCCCAGATCCAGACACTGGCCTCTAGGACAGCTTCCTTTCAGTGGAATCCGCCTCTGTTTCCTAATGGTGTCATTCAAAGGTAGCGGGTCAGCAGGAGGGACAAAAATATTAAAATAAGACATACATAGGATATACAAAGGGATTTCAAAAAGCTTGTGAAAAAATGAAATTAAAATATGATTTTATGGGCCAGCAGATGGATTACCAAGGTTTGAATTGATACGTGGTGGCTTGAAACTCATACCAGGCGTATGTGTGTGTGTATGCCCAAGATCCTGGGAGGAGAATGGAGGAAAAGAGATTGCAGTGTGGCCAATTCCCATGGGAGGATGGTGATTTCTCACTTTCCCTCTCACTGTTTCTGTCTCTGTCTCTCTCTCGCTCTAGAGAATGCATGTGCCTGAAGGGGAAAAAAAACTCTAAAAAAAGTTTGAGTTTATTTTGGTGCAAAAATATTTGAAACTCATACATAGTTTTTCAACACATGCATTTCTATGAATTTTGAATGTCCCTTATATAGCTACCCAGCAATTCCCAAGGAGGAATTCCTATAACAAAATAGATGAATAAATTTGTTCGAGTGATAATGCTGCCAACAGAGTGTTTACACAATCAACTAAAGATAGAAAGGTGAACAACAAAATTATCTTTAAATAAGAAAGACAATGTGATACATTTATTTATGTTGAGAGAATGTCTTGTCTTTATGGTCCTCTTGAAATCATTCATCCTATAGGCCTTTGCTGGAACATAAGAAACCTCTGTGGTGGGCCCAGCAAGTGGCATGGTGGTAAAGGTGCTGGACTCCCACATGGTCAACCATGGTTCAAGTCCCAGACCCAGGAGCTTGAAACTTACACTGGCTGTGTATACATGTGAGACCAAAATCCCAGCAGAAAAATGGAGAAGGGATTTCAGCATGGCCATCCCTTTTGAAGGGTGATTTCTCACTTTCCTCTCACTCTCTCTCTTTGTCTCTCCAGCAAGCACATATACCCTATGACAAAAACCTTTCAAAATAAATAAATAAATAGATAAATAAATAAATATGAATAAATAAAAAGAAACCTCTGTGGTTAAATTAGAATTGTTCTGATCTAATTTAAAATGTTGAAATGAACCAATGTTTGAGAGAACAAAGAAGTTATTTTACTCAAAACACTCTGGAGAAGAAATAATTTTCTATATTCCTTTTTTTTTTTAATTTTTCCAGAAAACACATTCTCAGTGGTTGGGGGAGAAAGTGGAAAAACACTCCCCATGGGGGTTGATCAGGCCTCAATCCCTTTTCTTCCTCCTTCTGTGATTTTGGACACTCACACACATGTACCTAGCATGTTTTTCAAGCCGCCAAGTCTGAGATTTGAACCACACAGTTGAACATGGGGCATCCATCTGTCTCAACCAGTGGGCCACAGGCTGGCCCAAGATTTTTTTTTATTCTAAATAGAGTAAAACAATTTGTCCCTCTCCTCTTGAAAGAGAGAACTATCTCTAGCAACAAAAATCACTAGTTGCTGAGTGGACAGCAATGTGTGTGTAAATGGCCACTTTTTTGTCATTCCCCTGGTTACAACTGCTGCTCACTCCCAATAGCATTAACTAAAGTGCTTCTGAGAGCAATTTCCCACACGAAGAAATGTTAAAGAGCTTATAGTTCAATGAAAGGAAAATGTCTCTTCACAAAGAGAACCAGTCTTTGTTTGTCATAGGATGCATGCACTTGCTAGAGAGAGACAGAGAGACAATAAGAGGAAAAGTGAGAAATCACCCCCTGAGAAGATGACCATGCCACAATCCCTTCTCCTCCATTCTCCTTCTGGGATTTTTGGACGTGCATGTACGCATGTCCGGCATGATTTTCACGCCTCCAGGACTTGAATCGTGGTCGGCCATGCTGGAGTCAAGCGCCTTTACTACCACACCACCTGCTAGCTCCAAGAGCCAGTTTTAAGAGAGAGAGTTACCTAATTTCATTACCTATGTCAACCTAAAAATAAGTGAAACAGAAATGGTTTATTTGAGCCAGGGCTTAGGACGAATCACCCAGATGAGCAAAATGTGTGGTTGGTCACACGGGATCCAGCCACCTTAATCACCAGGCCACGGGCTGGTCCACAAGTCATCTATCAAGAATTTACATTGGTTCATTTTAAATAATTTAGCAGTTAGCGTAATGGCTATGTCACTGGACTCCCACATAGTTGACTCCAGTTCGAGTCCCTGACCCAGTAGCTTAAACTCATGCCAGGCACATGTGCGTGCGTGCCAAGATCCTGAGAGGAGAATGGAGGAGAAGGGGTTGTGGTGTGGCCATCCCCCCTGGGGGGGTGATTTCTCACTTTCTGTCTCTCTGTCTCTCTGTCTGTCTGGCGAGCGCACACACCCTATAGCAAAAACCTCTCTAATAAATAAATAAATAAATAAATAAAATAATGCAGACAGGCCAGCCTGTGGCCTGGTTGTTAAGTTGGCTGGATCCCACTTGTCTGATTGTGCAGGTTTGAGTCACTGACCTGGTGGCTTGAAGAACACACCAAGTGTGTGTGCGTGTGAGTGTGTGTGCCCAAAATCTCTAAAGTAGAAATGGAGGAGAAGGGATTGCAGACTGACCATCCTTCATGAGGGATGCTTTTTCACTTTCCCCTCTCTGCCTCTCTCTAGCGCCCTTTAACAAAATTAACAATAAATTAATAAATAATGCAGCCAATCCATTGGCTACACCTTACCGTTTACATCATGAACTCCAGAGTACTGGGAAGAAGAAAGGGAGAGTGGGGAGAGAAACTAAAGCATGCCTTTACCTGCAATAACCTTGATGGGGGTGGGGCGTAACCAAACTCTCAGCTTATGCTTTATTGAGGCCTTTAAGGTTTAAAAGAACCTTGTATTCCAGACTGCTGTGGCCTGCTTTTCTTTCACATCTTTCTTTTCTCTCTGTACCCTTTCTTGTTTTAGCTATGAGCTCCAACTTTCCACATCTTGTCCTCCTGATCCAGCTCTGCCCTGTGCTCCCGGTCAAACAGAGACCAAGTACGCTGGGCTGGAGTGCAGAGCCAGCCTTGGGCATCTGCAGCCCTACACCACCTACAAGCTGAGGCTGGTGGTGCACAACGAGGTGGGCAGCGCAGCTTCCGAGTGGATCAGCTTCATCACCCATAAAGAATGTGAGTAGAAGAGGCTGTGACCATACACAAGAGGGGCAGGGCGGCAGCCAGGACAGGGCTGTCATGAAAACTAGGGGGAACCACTTTTTCAAAAGGATCGAGTGAGTGTCCCCTTACATTGAGTGGACTGAGACACTGATGAAGATGACTAGTGGGGCAAAACACCTATTGGATTTAATAAAGTGGAGGTCAAGGGCAAATTTAAGATTTTTTTTTTCAAGTAAAGACAGAATGAAACCAATTTTGTAAAAGTTCAACAGTGAACAGAAATAAAGAAAATGGGCAAATGCTTGTACAAACTTTTGCCACTCCTTTTCTTTTCTTTTTTCCTTTTTTTTTTTTTTTTTGGGAAAGGTTTTAGCTAGAGAGCACATGCGCTTGCCAAAAAAGAGAGACAGAAAGCGAGAAATCACCCCCGGGGGGGTGGCCACGCCGCAATCCCTTCTCCTCCATTCTCCTCTTGGGATCTTCTGCACGCACATGCGCCCAGCGTGAGTTTAAGCCACCGGGCCCGGGACTAGAACCACAGTCAACTACGTGGGGGTCCAGTGACATAGTCATTACGCTCACTGCTGGTCCCAGAGAGCAGTGTTTTCCAGAGCAGGTGGTTTATTTCTCCTACAGGGCAAGCTGGGACTCCTGGGCCCGGTCACCCAGCTGCGGAGCTTGGGCAGGTGCGG